GCTTTCTTGTGTAGAAAACTGTTTTTGACTGTTTTCAAGGAACGAAAGCTAAACAATCTTGAACTAGACGATGGTAAGAGTTTTATTTTACCTGGTTAAATTGTACGGAAATCAATGTTTTTTCGATTGTTCTTGTTCAAATGGTAATTGCTTTTAAATGTTTTCGAAACTGTACACCTGTTTGTTTCGGAGCAATTGCATCTCAGAAATCCATCAAACCAGTAAACTGTTTAACACGATTCAATGAAAATTTACTTTTGTTTTAGTTTGTGTTGAAAAAAATATATAAGCAGTAAACGCTACACAATCTTTTAACACACTGGCGTAGTTTGGTGAAATAGCCAGTGCTGTACTAATTAAGTTAAGTGCGTTTGTTTAGAGTTTCCTTTCTGATGTAGCGATCTCATTTTAAAAAATCAGATTTCGAAAGCCAGGTAGTTTTGAATTATTTGAAACCACATTTTTTTAACCCTGCAAACTGTTAGGCTTCATTTTAGAACTTATGTTTTTGCTGCTTTCTTGTGTAGAAAACAGTTTTTCACTGTTTTCAAGGAACGAAAGCTAAACAGTTCTGATTTAGATGATGGTAAGATGATTATTTTACCTGGTTAAGTTGTACATAAATCAATGATTTTTCGATTGTGTTTGTTCAAATGGTAATTGCTTCTAAATATTTTCGAAACTGTAAACCTGTTTGTTTCGGAGCAATTGCAGTTCAGAACTTTATTAAACCAGCAAATGTGCAACTTGATTCAATCGAATTTTACTTTTAGTTGTTTTGAAAAATATTATAAGCAGTAAACCGTACACTATATCTTAAGGCACAGTCGTTGTTTGGTGAAATAACCAGTGCTGTTGTACATATGTTCAATCCGTGTCTTAAGAGCTTGATTTCTGATGTTACGATGTCTTTTTAAAAATCAGATTTGGAAAAACAGGTACTTTTGAATTATTTGCAACCATATTTTTTACCCTGCATTCTATTATGCTTCTTTATAGAACTTATGTTGCTCCTGCTTTCTTGTGTAGAAAACTGTTTTTCACTGTTTTCAAGGAACGAAAGCTAAACAATCTTGAACTAGACGATGGTAAGAGGATTATTTTACCTGGTTAAATTGTACGTAAATCAATGTTTTATCGATTGTTCTTGTTCAAATGGTAATTGCTTTTAAATGTTTTCGAAACTGTACACCTGTTTGTTTCGGAGCCATTGCATCTCAGAAATCTATCAAACCAGTAAACTGTTTAACACGATTCAAAGAAATTTTAGTTTTGTTTTAGTTTGTGTTGAAAAAAATAAAAAAGCAGTAAACGCTAAACAATCTTTTAACACACTGGCGTAGTTTGGTGAAATAGCCAGTGCTGTACTAATTAAGTTAAGTGCGTTTATTTCGAGTTTCCTTTCTGATGTAGCGATCTCATTTTAAAAAATCAGATTTCGAAAGCCAGGTAATTTTGAATTATTTGAAACCACATTTTTTTTTACCCTGCAAACTATTATGCTTCATTTTAGAACTTTTGTTTTTGCTGCTTTCTTGTGTAGAAAACTGTTTTTCACTGTTTTCAAGGAACGAAAGCTAAACAATTCTGATTTAGATGATGGTAAGATGATTATTTTACCTGGTTAAGTTGTACATAAATCAATGATTTTTCGATTGTGTTTGTTCAAATGGTAATTGCTTCTAAATATTTTCGAAACTGTAAACCTGTTTATTTCGGAGCAATTGCAGTTCAGAACTTTATTAAACCAGCAAATGTGCAGCTTGATTCAATCGAATCTTACTTTTGTTTGTTTTGAAAAATATTATAAGCAGTAAACCGTACACTATCTCTTAAGGCACAGTCGTTGTTTGGTGAAATAACCAGTGCTGTAGTACATAAGTTCAATCCGTGTCTTAAGAGCTTGATTTCTGATGTTACGATGTCTTTTTAAAACTCGGATTTGGAAAGCCAGGTACTTTTGAATTATTTGCAACCATAGTTTTTACCCTGCATTCTATTATGCTTTTTTTAGAACTTATGTTGTTTCCTGCTTTCTTGTGTAGAAACCTATTTTTCACAGTTTTCAAGGAACGAAAGCTAAACAATCCTGAACTAGACGAGGGTAAGACGATAATCTTACCTGGTTATGTTGTACATGAATCAATGTTTTTTCGATTGTGCTCGTTCAAATGGTAATTGCTTCAAATAGTTTCGAAACTGTAAACTTGTTTGTTTCGGAGCAATTGCAGTTTAGAACTTTATTAAACCAGCAAATGTGCAACATGATTCAATCGAATTTTACTTTTGTTCTTGTTGAAAAATAATATAAGCAGTAAACCATACACTATCTCTTAACACACAGTCGTAGTTTGGTGAAATAACCAGTGCTCTCGTACATACGTTAAATGCGTGTCTTAAGAGCTTGATTTCTGATGTTACGATCTCTTTTTAAAAATCAGATTTGGAAAGCCAGTTACTTTTGAATTATTTGCAACCATATTTTTTTACCCTGCACTCTATTATGCTTTTTTATAGAACTGATGTTGTTTCCTGCTTTCTTGTGTAGAAAACTTTGTCATAGTTTTCAAGGAACGAAAGCTAAACAATCATGAACTAGACGAGGGTAAGACGATAATCTTACCTGGTTGTGTTGTACTTGAATCAATGTTTTTTCGATTGTGCTTGTTCAAATGATAATTGCTTCTAAATGTTTTCGAAACTGTAAATCTGAATGTTTTGGAGCAATAGCAGTTCAGAAATTGAATAATTCAGTAAATGTGCAACATGATTCAATCAAAATTTATTTTTTTTTCAGTTTGTGTTGAAAAAAATATAAGCAGTAAACGCTAAACAATTTTATAACACACAGGCTTAATTTGGTGAAATAACCAGTGCTGTAGTGCATAAAATAAATACGTTTCTCTAGAGCTTGCTTTCTGATGTAGCTGTCTCATTTAAAAGTCAGATTTGGAAAGCCAGGTAATTTTGAATCATTTGAAACCACATTTGTTACCCTGCAATCTATTATGCTTCTTTGAACAATTTATGTTGTTTCCTGCTTTCTTCTGTAGAAAACTGTTTTTCACAGTTTTCAAGGAACGAAAGCTAAACAATCTTGAAGTAGACGAGGGTGAGACGATAATCTTACCTGGTTGTGTTGTACGTAAATCAGTTTTTTGATTGCGCTCGTACAAATGGTAATTTCTTTCAAATATTTTCGAAAACTGTACACCTGATTGTTTTGGACCATTTTTAGTTCAGAAATTTGATAAACCAGATAATGTGCAACTTGATTCGTGTAAATTTTACTTTTGTTTTTGTGCAGAAAGATAATATGAGCAATAAACACTAGACAGTTTTCGAACAGTCAGGTGTAATTTGGTGAATTGACCAGCGCTATTGTACACAAAGAATATGTTTCTTAAGCGCCTGCCGCTTTCTCCTTTCGAGCTTTCCTTGCGAAAATCACGAAAGCAAAACAAGGTCATGTATTGATCTGGTTCCGAAAGCAATGTCCTTGTGTTTTATCTGAAACCAGAATATGCGCCCTGCCAACTGTGCATGTTTATTGCTGAAATCTCAGCGTTTCCTGCTGTTGAGTATAAGACTGGTTTTCAGTCTCCAAGGAACGAAAGCTAAACAGTCGTAAACTAAATAAGGCTAAGATGATATTCTTGCCTTGTTGTGTTGTACATTAAATGAAATAATTTCGATGGTGCATGCCTCCGAAATCGACTTAGGTTTTGAATACTTTCGAAATCTGGAATCTTATATGTTTCGATGAAATTGCAATTCAGAAAACAAAAACAATTTTGTCCTACATGCTTCGTTCACCAATTAATTTGTTTTTCTCGGATAGAAAATTATTAGAAATGAAAGCTAATCAATCTCTAAGCTCTAATTTGGTAAATCGACTAGTGCTGTTGTACTTCGATCAATGGGTTTCTTAGTGTTAGCTTTTTCTTGTAAGGTCCTACTTTGAGAAGTCCTATTCTGAGTTGATTGAAACCTGCGGTTATTGTGCTTCATGTTTTAGTGAAGTTATGAAGTTTCATGTTATCATGCTTAGAAAATTGTTTTTCATCTTTTCACTGCTGTTCAAGGAACGAAAGATAAATAATTGTAAACTAGACTAGGTTAATATGGTAATCTTGCGTGGTTGTTTTTTACCCTGCCATTTGTGCTTCTTTGCAGAAGTTTTGATGATTCTTGCTTTCTTGTGTAGAAAACTGTTCTAATGTTTTCAAGGAATGAAAGCGAAATAATCCTAAACTAGACGAGGCTAAGATGACAATCTTGCCTGGTTATGTTGTACATTATTCGAAGTAGTTTTGATAGTGCATGCTTTCTAAATAGAAAGATGTTTTAGAGACTTTCGAAAACTGTAAACCTAATTGTTTTGAAGCAATTGCGGTTCAGAAAGTAATCAGATCAGTTATTGTTCTATATACTTCCTTCAACATTTTAGTTTTTCGGATAAAAAATAATATAGAAATTAAAGCTAATCAATCACTAAAAACTAATTTGATAAATGCGACTATTGCTGTTGTACTATAATAAATGGGTTTCTATAGTGCTTGCTTTCTCATGGATGATCCTTTTTTTAAGAAGGCAGGGATTTCTGAGTTGATTGAAACCAAAATAGATATCCTGTCGGCTATTTTTCTCAATCTTATTGTGAAGTTGAGCATTTCTTGAGCTTTCTGGGAATTTTATTTTTCCCTGTACACCGTATGTGTCATTAGGCTCTCTTTTTTTCCTCCGCACTTAACACAAGCATCAATTTTATGGTCTAACGAGTGGTTTTACTAGGTTAACTATGAAGACCAAACATGTTTGTCATGGCCTAATTTATGACAATTGGACAATGTGAACAGTAATTTAAATTATAAAAATTGCAGGTGGAGGAAAAGGAAAAAGAGCCTGTCATTGTTGTGTTTTGATCTGGCTCTTTTCATGTTGTTCTTTGGTTGAGTGGGATAAATGTGCCTCTTAGTTTTGAGAATGCTTTCTTTTAGGATTCGCTTGATCCGACAGGCACAGTGGATGTGAAGACACTGCGTGACATGGTGAAGCACTTCCAGCAGCTGTTCGACTGTCCCCACCTACAGGGCGTGTATCCCAGAATGAACGATGTGTTCTCCAAGTTAGAGGAGAGTCGGAACACCATCAACACTTTCAAGGACCTCCTTGGACTGGGTATGCACCATCTAGCTTCCTACCCTCTATGCTGCTTAGTTACCTGGAACTTTTTTTCTCTTGCATGCGCAAGTGACTTGTAATCGCTAACTAGTATTTTTCCCGTTAACAACTTTTCTTACAGGTCTCAGGTTTGAATCCCGGCCTGACCTTGTTTTATTTTCCATCTTACATTAAGCGTCGATGGACATATTTCAGACTCTTAAATAGGTCGCGATGATTTTTTTTTCGTTCGTATTTTTTTCAGGCAAAACCTTTTAATTTGTTCAGGCTATCTTTGTTGAGCGAAAGTTTAAAAGTAACGAAAATGTGGTCGACTTCTAGTTTCGAATGTGGATGATATTTATCGAATTTCCCAGCAAAATAAATATTTTACCTATTTACCCAATTTTCTGAAATTGGGTTATTTTTATCAAAAAAGTGCCAATCATAAATTGTTCCAGAAATTAAAAGAGCTTTGAGGCCATCTATTTTTTTCTAAGTCCGTATATTTTTCTGGTAACGTGCGTTCATTGACTCTTTTTCAACTCTCTGTTTTGTGAATTTATACCTTGCTTTATATATACATGGACACCTTTCAGGTCTGTTTCCAATTAGTTCTTTGGAACATAAGTTTCGAGGGTTTGAGTCCCGGCCGCATCTTTTGATATTATTTGCGGAAATAATTTTTTTTTCGGAAAACTTAATTATCGTTTGTCTGCATATTATTAAGAGCCGATGAACGTTGTTCAGACTCTTATATAGGTCGCGATGGTTTTTCTGTTTTTTTTTCGGGAAAAGTCTTGCTCAGGCTCAAATTTTACTTTTTCAAGGTTGGATTTTTGATTTCTTTTTAAGCTCAATTCCATTTTTTGTTCACAGGAAGTCAAATTCTGCTCGCGAGCAGCAAAATGTAAAAATCACTAAAACTTGATCGAATTCTCGTTTCGAAAGTGGAATTGATTTTTCAGATTTCCCAGTGAAGTAAAGACTTTGCTTATTGATTCATTTTTCTCATATTCGGTTTTTTAATAATAAAAAAAGTTCAATCATAATTTGTTCTAGATATTAAGAAAGCTTTAAGTGTATTTTTTTGCAATTTGAAAGTTCAAATTTGATTTTTTCATAAATTAAGTCATTAAGTTTTTCTGTGCATTCGTTTTTTCCAACTGTCTTTTGGCTATGTTTAAGTATCGTTTATCTGCTTATTTTGTTGACTTATGCTCCAACGCATGGATTATCCTCATAGCATGTTTTTTCTAAATTATTTTTTTAGCAACTTCATTATAATTGAAAGTTGGTCTGTACTTTGGAAGCTTGATTTGATTTACTTTGATTTACTATAATTTTTTTTCTAATTGAAAGAGTTCGGTTCAAGCAATATCGAGTCATTTACTTTATGTGGCGTCGATGAAAATCCTAAAATAGATTGTTATTCTTTTGTGTGTTTCAATGAATGGGCGTAAAGTTTGTAGCTCATTTTTTTCGACTCAACTGGTGTCTACCCAAGTATTGGCTTAGGGGCCACTCGGCAAATGGTTTTGAATGTTGATTTAGTGGTGATGATGGTGTGTTTGGAATATAGTCCTCAAAAGGAAGCTAATTTGCGACAAATATTGAAACATTTGCTTTCGAATTTGAAAAAAGTTTCTTCGATATAGTTGCTTTCGTCTCATTGTCTGTCTGCTAATCCATGATGCTATTTTTGTTTTGTATAGCTTCGCATCTGTGTCGAATATGTTCTTCAGTGGAAAGCGCATAACTTAACCCCATCGCCTTACTGCAACTTGAACTTTTGAACTTTTAACTAGAACTGGATTGAATGTAACTGAACGCCCAAGAGGAATCAAGGGTCAGCAACTCTCTTTCTCTCTCTGTCTCTCTCGCTTTTCTCTCTATATATACTCTCACTTACGACGCTTGTTTCGACACTACGGCGTCGAGATACGTTCTCTCCATCCGCGTGAGGAGCCTTTGTAGGTCGTAGGGTTTCTCAATGAAGTGGTCTTTGGATTCTCTCAGTCTCCTCAACTCTGGTCCTCTCTGATGATAGTGAAGAACTTGGCTGACTGACTGTTTTTTCATCTCTTCTCGCATCTCTTCTCTCATCTCTCTCTCTCTCTCTCTCTCTTTCGCTTTTCGCTCGGAGTCAACTCCTTTTAGATACTGTTTTAAGACATTCATTTATGGCTCACGGGGCCTTTTTTTTCAAAAGGTTAGTATATACTAATTTTGCGGGATAAGCGTCCTTAGGAAAGTAAATTTGATTGACCAAAAAATCTTCGGAAATATACCATTGATTTTCGAAGATACGCGCGTGGCTGAACGCACAGAATATAGTATATACATCTTTAATTGTAGCCACAAGTGAGAAAATTGAAATCAGAGAAGAAAACGCTTCAAACGGACCAAAAAGCTTAAAAAAAGCAACCACACTTGGGTAAAGAGAGCTTTATCATAACCAGTCCAAATATCCGTGTCTTTGATTTTACTGGTAAGATATATGCTGATTAGTATCTACTAATCTAATCTGCCCCTTTTGCATGAGAAGTTAAAAAAAGATATTTGTCTTTTTTATTATACGGCCCAAAACGTATTCTCTGTGCCATTTCGACAGTTAGATTATGATGCTCGAAAATGATTGGTTGAAATTAATATCAGTGAAAAAGAGTTCTGAGCATTTTCAATGAAAACTGAAGCTCAATTAACAGTTTGTTAATTTGGGCCGTATAACAGAAAAGACCCCGATATCTGTTCAAATCATCCATAGCTCACTATTTTGTATGTCTCACAATGTTGTTTCTATTGTAGACCAGAGTTCTACCACCACGCGTACTCTGATTGGTGCATTTGAGGCAGTTTGCAGGGAGTTCAACAACAGGACTTACGAACAACTCAAGACTCTCATCTCCTCCGACGACCTTCTCAAGTAAGCTGCCAATAGAACAAAGAAGTATCTCTCTATCGGTCTCGCGCTCTCTACTTTTTTGTAGTCTTTTTGTCTGTTTTAAAGTGGGGTAAAAAAAGAACACCTAATTGGTTCAAAAAAGGGTGCCTTAAGTTTTTGATCAAGCCTTGCTGAAATCTGATTCGCAGATGAGTTAGTTCACTAGTTTAAATGACCTTTTGGATGATGTAAATTTAACTTGAGAAAGAAAGGAAGAATATATTTCTCCAACGAAAGTAAAAAAAAATACATCAGAGCATCAGAATCTGAAGAAACTTTGAGAGAACAGGCAACGGGATCCTAGGATCCGCTAAGCGTCTGCCTCTACAGGCTGTATTAATTAGCTATATCATAAAAGAATGAAATCAATGAAGAAGAAAAATGTTTAATTTAACCTTCAGATTTTTGGAAAAACTTCATGAAATATGTTTCAAAACTTCGGCCAGATCTATGTTGCTCTCGGCTTCGTGGATTTATCTTCCGATGACGGATCCTTAGAATATATTTTAGCAATTACCTGATTGAGATTCCTCGTTCCTTGTTGATTGATGTGATAATCATTGTTGTTCTCCTTTTAGTATAACTGAGAAGGTGCGCATCCACGACGAGTTCTTTCCGGAGTTCGAGTGCATGGCAGAAGAGGTGATGCATGCGTTAGGTGAGTACTTAGAGTTTGCTCTAACCTTTTTCTCATCTCAATTTCTCATTCAACAGACTACTGAACAACAACGTCAGCACTCCCCCTCTTAAAAATAAAATATTGATGTACGATTTTTCATTGGATTTAAAGCACCAAATATTGAAAAAAGTAATCACATTTTCAAGAATTTTAAAGGAAGTGTTGTAAAAATTTTCAACATTTTCGAATTTGTTAGGAAAGTGACCTTGCATTAATATGAATTATTAATTAATTTCACGAGTCGGTCCGGTTGGTGTAGCGGTAAAACGCCTGCTTCAGCCTCCAAAAGGCAGCGGGTCCAGTATCGGCAGGAACTTCATTTATCGGCAGTATCGGTGTTTACCTATAAATGTTAATTTTTCAGCTTCTTGGTCTCAATTCCTGTCGGTTTAATTTCCGCTCTTTTAGAACGATCGAATTGATGTTTTTAATTACACTAGCCAGCAGCGTAGTGTATTAGTATGAAACTTGTTTTTTTTCTAACCTAAATCGCAAATAAAAGTGTTCACTTATTTGTGTGCCTTCTGCTATAACCACGATTTTCATAGCATCTGTTCTCTGCTTTATTTGTAGCTAGTGTTTGTGATTTTTTAAGCGTCCGTGGCTGAGTGATTGGTGCCCGAGACTCATTCTCTAGGTCGCAGGTCGAATCCGAGACGTGGCCGAATTTTTACTAATTTGAGGCTTTTTTCTACTTTTCTTATTGCACTTTATAAAGCTGCTTTTTTCGTGTTTTCGCTAAGTGTTTGCGAAGCTTTACCTGTTTTTTAATTTCTTTTTTTTTCACCATTTTATATTTGACGATAGACTTCGGGGGTATGCGAAACTTCAAGCTTTTAGTTTCAATATTTTAATGACAACTAATTTTGATATCTCTTGTTTTGCGATAATTTTTGAAACAATTTTTTTAAGTAAGTACCGTTCGTCAGTAGCGTTCGCCTCTGTAGTGTTTATCATTAAGTATAAAAGAGCAAAGTTATTTCCACTTAAATATCTTTATGATTTTCTATTTGTTTTTTTTTCAGGAAAATTCTTAAATATTGTTCACGCTCAAATTTGATTTTTCATGTGGTTTACGCGAAGAAGAGCGGTTTACTTTCCACTAATCTCAATCTGTACATAACGATAAAATGTTCACATATGGAAGCGAATCCATACTTCTGCGCCTTGAGTCAAATGTGTTGGCCACTGTACTAAGCAGTCGCAAAGCCTGCAGGAATGGAGAATTTATCACCCAACAAAGAATTCTTAATATTTAGCATAATTATTTGGCGCAAGTACATGGACGGAAATTGGTAATTCTCGGTTATGACTGGTTGATATGGTGGCTAAAACATATAACGAAAACCCCCTATCGTACTGAGTTCGAATTCCGGCTGGAACCAGCTTTATCAGGGTTAAATCAGTTGCATCCGCCGCCTATTATACATCTCCGAAAGTTGAAAAATATCAAAAATTTAAATATTTTTTTTTCAGTTTTTTTTGTTCTTTGTTTAGTTTTTTATCTGTGTTATGCTTAGGAGTGGACAGATTAGACCGTGTAGTGCCGGCAGTGAGGATTCTCAAACTCGTCTCCTCATCAAACAGATCTCACTGAACACTTCAGAACGGAACAGAGACTGTCTTGGCATCACTGGGCAGCAGTGGACTGAACTGGATTAAATCCAGAACAACTAGATTCAAGAATAAAAAACGAAACTAATTAAACTCTATCTTTTTTCTTTGTAAAAAGGGAGTGTCAACTTGAAAGATTAAAAAAAGGCTGTCATACGTATTATTTTGGGGTTGACCTTCCCTGTTTCTATTTCTAAACATAGTGTTGTAGCGTTTAAAGTTTCAATTTTGTCTTTGATTGCACAGTCTGTTGTAAATGTTTGTGAATACTTGTACAAAATTGTAAGTTTCAGGTTAATTCAAGGTTTTCTGAATGGAATAATGACCTTTTTTGAAATTTGTTAAAAGGGAGGAAAGTATACTACACGTGGAAACCTATTTGGATATCAAATACCGTCTACCTCAGTCGAGTGCTTTGGAATTTTTTGTCAGGCGAAAGGAGTTTTTAGGAATATTTTTGTTTGAAATGTCAAAGCATTCTTGTCTTTCTTTTGGAAATTATTATAAAAACCAGAAGTATCTGTTTTGATACTTTTCCATTAAATTCAGTTGGTTTGAATTGGTCACTTAAAAATCATTCCAGAAAAAAGCTAGTGTACTGTAATCGGGAACAAGTCATTTTTTCCGTTGAAAAACTTCTTATAATAATAAAGCAAGTAAAAAAATAACGATTTGTAAAAAGTTTTTCAACGGAAAAAATGACTTGTTCCCGATTACAGTACACTAGCTTTTTTCTGGAATGATTTTTAAGTGACCAATTAAAACCAACTGAATTTAATGGAAAAGTATCAAAACAGATACTTCTGGTTTTTATAATAATTTCCAAAAGAAAGACAAGAAGAATGAGTAATGAATTAGTGTGATGTACATAATTTTCAATGTAGTTGCAAGTGTTGATTAATGTAGTTTCAGGGGACAAACTTTTTTTAAATCATTTTTTTTCGCCTCGAAAAGTGTTTGCTGAAAAGTTGTCAGCTTAGTTGCTTTATCGCTTTTTTTGTTCTGCAGTCCACTCTTTTATTTCAGTTGCAAGTGTTGTTCCAAGAGGACTTGAAAGTTTTTGAATTTATTTATTTTTTGGCTCCACTTATGTCTGCTCACAGACAGTCGGCTTTATTTCCTTTTGGTAAGTTTTGTTCTGTTGCTAATTTAACACTCAAATGTCTGGCATTGTTGCTTAAAGTGTACTTCTACGGAGACTTCAGAAACTTTGGTAGACCTAGTTTTTCGACGTTCTCATCTGTGGTTGAATTGCAATTGGTGCGGAGCTTTGCTTCGAGTCTGTTGGTAAAGTTCCAGAGGTACCGGTAATTCATTTCCGAGATTTTTTTTGTAATATTTTCATAATTAAAAAACCTTTTGAACATTACGAGGCGCAAAATTTTGAGTCTTTGTGTTCCTGAATTCCAGAGACAAAACTTTAAAAATGTTCCAAAATGTAAGTGGATTCAACTAACAAAATTTAAGTGGATTCCGCGAACAAATACCTGTAACGTAAATTTTGTCAGAACATTTATTTTGTTGCAGATTCCGCAACGAGCAAATATAGCTAGTTTTTCTGGATCGCAACTGTAAGTGGATGCCGCAAAATTTAGGTGGAATCCGCAAAATTTGTCAGCGGAATCGGCAAATGTATGCGGATTGCGCAAATTGTAGGTGGACTCTGCAATTTTGTTAATAACTGAATTTGCATATGAACAATTAAAAGCTAGAGGTGGAATTTTTATCTATAGCAACCCGCAATTTGAAAGCAAGGACTTATCCATTGGCAGCGGAATCCACAAACGAATTTTAAAACATTGGTTAAATAATTAGATGCGGATGTCAAAGCTTCATCGATCACCTGATGATCGGATGATTTTTTGGTAACGGTGAACACAATCGTCGAATGGCATTTTTTGGTTCAGGGTGTGAAATGGTTCAGAAATCATCACTCATCACTCTTTTAGATGAGATAGTTCATTTGTTTTAGAAAGCATCATCATTAATCAGTATTTGAGATGAGATGTTTCCTATGTTAATTGCAAAAAAGGACGACTCGATTGTATTTTTTAAAAGCTGAACTGAAACATCCTTCAAAGATTGGATTGAAGCATCCTCTTTTTTTAAAAACTGAAAAGAAAAACTTATACAAACGGTAAGAAATTTAGTAAGAAAAATAATTAAAAACTGTTTTAAAATATTATTGAACAATTTGATCAATTTGATTGAAAAAAATATGGTCGGAAAAATAAGTATTCATGTTTTCAAATAATGTTGAGCACTTTGAACGATATACTTGTTTTATTTTCTTCTGTCTCTGCAATTTCATTTTCACTAGTTGTGAATCCCTTCCCTCAAATATCCAACTTCGACAAAGTGTTTCTGTTGTTTCAATGTCTCTACGTTTTCCATTCATTGCATACTGTTGGTGTTAGTATTCTGGTTTGTTTGTTGCAATTTTTTCGAGATAAAGTGTGCGTTTTTCTCTTAACGATCCTAATTTTCTATTTCCACAGATTTGTACGCACATCGTTTGACGTGCTTGAATTCTGACGTTTCAGCGTATTCAAAACAACAGCTTTCACAGAGGGAAGCAAAGTATCTTCATCCGGACAAACGACGCGTGTAATACTTTTGAGCTGCAGGCTCGAAAAAAATCAATTATTTCGTCAGGTGAAGAGTGCGAAAAATAACAGAGTAGCAGCACCAAATAGTTCTCTCAGACACTGCCTCAACCATTCTCCCAGCAGTTATCGCATTTTTAGTGAAGAATATTAAGGTTGGAATGATTGTAAGCGTTTCTGAACTTAAGATGCCCGGCTTGTAAGGCAGTCTAAGTTTTCAGACGCAGACGACAGCTTGCAGAAATAGATTTTGATTCTCTCGACATCTAAGGTGAGGCAATTATGACTTGCCGGAACAAATTTGCACAGTTGATACTGATATAATGAAACGTGAACTTCAGTGTTGAATCTAAGTGCAAGCTCGTTCATCAAAACTCATTGCCGTAACAGATTTTGTTACAAAAAAATGGACCACGTTATTTTGAAATGATCAAAGCCATGCGGAAACAGCGTGAAAGATGGTTGAAAGACACCCCTTCTTACTAGGTATAAAACTGGAATCCATTATTTCAAAACGTTGTGTCGATTTGAATATTATCAAAGTTGTGAACAGCAGATTCTTGTAAATTGTTGAAAAGATGATTTAATCGCCTCGTATGGTCAATTTATCATCTGAAACTGCCAATTAAAAGGACAGATGTCTCTTTGGAGACTAGTAGGAACATTACTGCACCTGGACAGTGACCCGCAGGAATAAGAGTGTCTCGTCCCTTCCGTTGAATCATTCAATTAAATGAACATAAATGAACATAAATGAATTAAATGAACATAAAGCGGCAATGAGCTCAACAAAGCAGCCAAAACTTTAGGACAAAAAAATTTAAAATTATGGTCTTTTAACCTTTCGAAGAGCTCAGGCTCATTAAGGCCCTTCATTTGATCTGTATGGCACTGCGAAAGAAAATAAACCGTAGATTTGAGGTTCTCAACATTGAAGCGATCAATTCAAAACCCAGGAAACTCTGATATTGGACCGGTAATTTCTAACATAATTTAAAAAAATGTGGTAAACGGTGATTTAATAAAAAGAAGATTGAAGATACCTTTCTATAATTTCGGAGAAATGAGAAGGCCATCACATTTTGATCTTCATGCGCTCGTTTTGAGTGTGAACAGTTTTCGTAGGTTTAGTTATTGCCAAATAGATTGAAACATTCTGGTGGATGATTAACGAGACGCGTAGATCCTAAAAGGAATAAAAATTAGGTTTAAATAGCAAATCAGAAAAACAAATGATTGGGAGTTTTAATTTCAATTAGTTACAAACTATACAGCAATTCGCATCATCAAATTCGGGCACAATTGGCACAAAATTGAACAAACTAAATGATATGGTAATGCCACAGTAGGGAGGAAAATGACAAGAGCACTAATAATAGTGTGACACGAGAAATTGCACAGCAGGAAGGAAATTGACTGCGGCACTAATAAAATTTGGGCACAAGAACTCAACTAATACTATTGATTTTCTTTCCTGCGAGAGAATGCGACAAATGCTGAGAAAAATTCCACTTGAAATGAAGAAAAAGATTTGGGACAGATACTGAATAGAAATACTGAATAGAGGATTGGTTGAACAGAAGAGATATGAGACATATCCTGAAAAGACTGACGTTTGCACTAAATACAGTTTTCTAATAAACACAAATTCATATAATATTTTAGTAAAATTAGTTTGAGATTCATAAATTTTGAACCTTAGACGCCTGATGAAGATTGAGCTATGTGACTGACATTGACTCGTACTGATAAAATAGACTGTACTGGAGTAGTGGGGAGTTGACTGACATTAGCACTAAAAACAGTTTTCTGAAAAAATTAATCGTTGAAAAATTTAGTAATATATTTTAAATTTTGGAATTTTGAGATTCTAGGACAGGGGAACGATATCAGATTGCGGAAAACCAGCGGTTTTTCGACCTTGGCCTCAGGCCCGGACTGGTAGATTCGCGACCGACGGCCCCGAACTCAATGGCGCTGTTCCAACACGCCCGCGCCCGATCGCGTTGAAATTTTGTTGTCAGAGTCGTCGGAGTCCAATGATAGAGTGCCGTTCCAGACTCTTGCACGCCCTGTTCGCCACAACGGCAGATGTGGCACTGATTTCGTTTTCACCACTAGAACAATCCGATATGTTCAGTATCACTGCCGGTTCCTCGTCGGAGCCACGGAACAGCAATACTGTTTCAACTTCGGTTTGTCCGTCACCCAACGTGGTGTCCGGGACAAATAATATTTCCTCCAGAAGATATCATTGGTATAAGTTTCTGAGAATTTACTAAACAAAGGTAGTACATGATTGATACGGAGGGAGGGGTTGGGTTTTTCTTTTGTGGTTTTTATTGGGAAGGTTCAACTTAGTGGTCAAAGGTGGAAAAGAAGGGTTGTTCACATGGCCCCAGTCTTATTCAGTTTAAAAAAAAGGTAGAAAGCAATAATTATGGCTAAGTAAACAGACTGAACGGTTAAAAGTCATACCGACAGAAGAAACATTTCGGATGCCACCCTCTGCCAACAAATCATGCATAGCTTATGTGCAAGGGCAACATGCCTCTTGTGTATCTGGAAAAGTCTTCCCTGTTCGCAACAGATAGGGCACATTCCTTGGCAGTCACACACAGACAATTTCAGTTAAGGAGGAACATGATCGCATGTTTTCTGAAATGCAGTAATTCAGTTTGTTACTGAGACAGCATGATAAAAGTTAGAATCACAA